ATTGCGTCATCAGACATATACGTACTCCACGCAAGAAATTGTTCATCCCGACGGACGACGTCATGAACATACCTGTACCTGTTGATCAACTCGAAGTGACACGAGATTTCAAGACGACTCCTACTTTTGAAGGAGAAAGTGACTTTCGCGATGTTTGGGATGGTGTCAGCGCCAACGACCACAGGGAGTTGAGCGAGCCATGGGCCGGCCTGGTTCGATTCTATGAGCTTCCAAAGATAACGCCAGATGGCAAAATGGTGGTCCGTGGCCGCGAGACACGTGTACAGACTACTACGCGTCCTGATCACATTCTTCCAGAGCATTGGAAAACATTATCTCGTGGACAACAGAAGAAAGAAATCGAGTACGCCGAAGACGTTAAACGAGCTCGTGAAATTCGTGACCGAGCTGCACTTCGAGTGTGGACAAGACAGGACAAACAGGTCAACACTTTCCGTACCACTGCAGCCGGCGGACCCACATGGAATACTGTGGAACGAAGGATTACGTACGACACTGACAACGGCGCGGTCATCCGTGACGAAAACGTCAAGGGCGTGACGAACAAAGAGATACTGTATGCCAAACTACCTGGTGGGCCACGTGACATTACTACGGTACTGTACTACCGCCAAACCCCACACCAGCACGCTGGCGAAGAACGTGCTTTGGTACTTGTGGATAGTGAGGGTACCGACTTTGGGACCATGAACCCGCTTATACGCCAGTTCACCCAGTCGGTAGCAATACCCACTATGCCACGTGAGACGACCTACACACCGGCACACAGAGACAAAATCCCCGATTCTTCATGGGCACGCCCGGCCCTAGTTACCAGAAACCTGAGTAAGAAAGAAGTTGCCGCATAACCACGTGCACAGGAAGCCCTACGAAAAGAATACGAGAGATTGGACAAGAAACAAACGTGGATGTTGGAGACTGTTGCAGAAAAAGCTGATATTGAGTCACAAGCTATTCGCACTGGGACGAAAGTTCATTTCTTCAACATCTTGGAACTATCTTCAGTCAAACACGAAGAACTTCCACCTGATCTACGTAAATTTAAGGGCAGAGTGGTGGTTCAGGGCAATACAGGCAAAGATGAAACTGGTTTGGCCGCCATATTCGCCGACGCAGCTTCCAGTGCTTAGCATATTGAGGCTTCCAAACTTTGTGCTGCTACTGCATTATTGCCACAATATGCGGGAGAACAAAGTGATGCACCTGGAGCCTACACGCAGGCATTACTATATGGCGACGGACGAATCGATCCAGCCGATATTTGGATTACCATACCCAAATGGCGCCAACCGGCATCTTGGTCAAAATACACAAATCCAGCGTGCCGATTACGATTGGCACTATACGGACACCCTCTTGCAGGGGTCTTTTGGGAACGCAAGTGTCGCACATGCTTGGAAAGCGTTGGCTTCGAGCCTATTCCAGGATGGGAATGCGTGTGGAGACACAACAAACTGGGACTGATACTTTCAGTATATGTGGACGACTTCAAATTAGCCGGGCCAGCCAACAATCTACAAGCTGGCTGGGATTATATCCGCAAAAGCGGTATTGGCTTGGATCCACCTACTCCATACTCGCAATATCTTGGCTGTGGACAACAGGCATGCGATGTGCCGCAGAACATCTTCGACAAAAGAATGTCTACCGCACGACCTATGTTGCCCGTACACAGCGAAAAAGATTACAATGCAGCCAAACAGGTTCGTGGAATTCGACATGATATGCTTGGTTTTACTGATCAGTGCATTGAGCGGTACCTGGAATGCGCTTCCAAGCGCGCCCAGGGACCTGGGTCACGCCGGAAACGATCCGACTCGCCGAGGACTTCGCGATCCAAATCGCCTGCATCCTCCGCGTCGGTCGCCAGACCTACTAGCGTGCTCAACGCACGGCCACGATCATCCAGCCCAGCAAGATCGGTCGATAAACCATCTATTACAACAGAATCCATACCAGTCACATACGATGACCTACCGGACGCTGAAACCCCTGGCATCGAGGACACCTCCTTCACCGACTCCGATTACTCCGACGAGGGCATCCTTGGCCAGGACGCGGCGAGTGTACGGATGAAGATTCTCTACCTGGCACGTTGCTGTCGCTTCGATCTTCTACATCCAGTATGTATGCTAGCCAGAGAAATTACCAAATGGAATACCACGTGTGATAAACGTCTACATCGACTGATATGCTACATCAAAACGACGCGCACACATTGTTCACACGGATGGATAGGCGATTCGTCAGACAAATTATCCATCATGCTCTTCACAGACGCCTCGTTCGCCGATTGCATTACATCATCCAAGTCCACTACCGGCGTCTTCGCCGCGCTTGTTGGACCTAATACGTTCTTCCCGGTCAACGCTGTGTGTAAGAAACAAACGGTTGTATCGCATTCATCTACAGAATCCGAGATCGTTGCCATTGACTCAGCACTACGATTGGAAGGACTACCACTACTCTCATTCTGGGAAGCCGTGGTGGGAGTTGCCAATACAAGCAAAGAGAAGAATACTTGCCTTGGCTGCCAGGGGCGCGCCGACACGGCGACGTGTCCGACATTGGCCGCCAAAAAGAGGCACAAGCCATCGCCTCGCAAGGCACCCCCCACAAGGGGATCTTCTCCTAGCCGTAGGCAACTACCGCTAAAGACGGAGTTACCTACGCCTCCAAAGAGGCGTACGATATCCCATGAGGGTACCGTATTGCACGTGGATCCAGAACCAGCTCAGGAGATCAGTTCCCCCAAAGTGCGCCTTATCGTCCTCGAGGATAACCAGGCCGTGATCAAAATTGCCTAAAAGGGACGTACACCAGCATTTCGTCATCTTCATCGTACTCACCGTATTAACCTGGATTGGATATGCGAGACATGCCAACTCGAACATATCGAGCTCAAATACGTAGGTACAAAAGAGCAGATTGCAGATATGATGACCAAACATTTCGAGCCAAAGAACGCAGACCTCTGGAGGGACCTCTTGGAACACTCCCTCAGATTTCCCGCTACTCCGGCACCGTGTCCTTCAAAGAAACCATGGAAACCATTGAAGGGGCCTCGGAGGCCTGACGGTTTACCTCATGTTGCAGAACCTCCAAAACTGGATGGATGTCCGGAAGTATGCAAAATACTATTCACAGAGAAAGAAAGATGGGGCGAGGTAGGATCAGAATGTGGAACGCAGTGCGTTGGACAAGCCAATCACGAGGGCATACGTGCATGTATGTACCACATTGGTGCACCCGCTGCAGCTACTGGTTCGCGCACACCTCGTTCGAGAGCACGTTCCCCGCACGGTAGACAGCCCCGCCATCCTCCCTCACCTCCACAGGATGCAGAGAGGTCTAGGACACTCATTGCGCGTTCATGCCGCAGCAATTTTACGACTCGAGCTACAAAGCTTACAGGCATCCTGTTCGCCGTGTGCGAGGCGCAAATAAGTGATCGGTTCTAATCCCGATACCCCCATCCACGAGTTGGATCAGGCACAGCCGCTCCACCTCATCGGCTGGCCCATCGGCTGCGATGCCGAGTACGACCCGAACGCCAAGGACGACGACCGCGTGGGCTTCACGTACCACGCTCAAACTGGTCGTCCTCGTGATCCTGATGATGGATATATCTATATATATATATATATATATACATACATACATACATCAACGGCGCGCTGATCGCAGCGCAGATTTTGATCTCCGCGTACCCGACGAATCCACTATTCGAGAAATTGCCCGCTCTGCGTCCGCCGACGTCAAGAGTTGGATCAGCGAAACTGGTGGATCAGTCGGCGGCGACGCCAACTGCGAGTACAGCACGTTTACGGCTACACCATGGCTGTCTTTCATGAGGGCTATGTGCATGATTTCCAGCCTCTTCACTCGTAACTCGTCTGTACAAGAAAGTGTTCGTGGTTTACATGATCATTTGAACGCAGTGATCCCAGGAGCGCACCGCAAGTGCCCGCCAATGGAACTTACGACGATGATATTGAAGACGGAGTGGATGATGATTCACAACGATTGGTCCAAAATTGGCAGTGCAGTATTGGGACAATATGCCGAGGACAGCGTTCAGGATACAAAACACTACTATGGAAATGGTATTTGTGCACCTTCTGATGTATACAGCAATGGATTGGCAACTCCATGCTATGCTCCTAAACTTGATCGTGTATCGATCAAGTTACCCACACGCCCACCTGGCTTAGCCAGGACATCAGATACTTCGGGACACATCGGCCACGCTGTTGAAGATAATTTGGCCACCGAAATGCGAGCATTTTCCGACATTAGCCAGACAAGCAAATTCCGCCGCAAGCTCAGCACATGGCTGACTGCACGCGGAGGCTTCGGAGGCATCGGATCATGCTCCGAGACGGTGGCAACACCATCCGATCATCCAGACGGCTGGCAGGCAATATCACAGAACGACGAGACCATGACAAGTACTTATCGTTGGCAACCATACAACGAGGGCTCCGTCTTCATTGGCGAGACTCCTTCTGAGGTTGACCCTGGTCT